CTGTTGGATGGCCCGGCTACAGCATCCTCGCCACCACCTACTCTCCTGTTGAATGGCCCGGCTACAGCATCCAGGCCACCTTCTCGCCTGTTGGATGGCCCGGCTACAGCATCCTCGCCACCTACTTTCCTGTTGGATGGCCCGGCTACAGCATCCTCGCCACCTACTTTCCTGTTGGATGGCCCGGCTACAGCATCCTCGCCACCTACTTTCCTGTTGGATGGCCCGGCTACAGCATCCTCGCCACCTACTTTCCTGTTGGATGGCCCGGCTACAGCATCCTCGCCACCACCTACTCTCCTGTTGAATGGCCTGGCTACAGCATCCAGGCCACCTTCTCGCCTGTTGGATGGCCCGGCTACAGCATCCAGGCCACCTTCTCGCCTGTTGGATGACCCGGCTACAGCATCCAGGCCACCTAATCTGCTAAACTCCACATTTTTTACAAATGGATTTGGGCATCTTCTCAAACTCAGCTGCTTGTGGGGGTAGTGGCGAAGTGTCGATCGTGTCTTGTAGCGGTACAATATAGAGTGTGATCTTGCCATTGTTAGATGCTGTTTTTAAAGACTTTGCTGTGTAGCCCTCGGACTCAGGTGGCACCACAGTCAGTTTTCTCTGGCCACACCCACCTTGTTTTTAAAGAAAATAGACTATTTTTACATTGACATATTCCGATTAACAACATTCTAATGAAAAACATGAAAACACAATTAATGCATTGTGAAATACTGACAACATGCTGCTTCTATTGTTAAGTAACACTTTGTCTCACTGCATTATAACACTTTAAGTAGCTGAAGGATAGCTAAACGTGCTATTACAATTACTAACAATATGCAATGAAGCTTATCAACAAATTTCCATACCTGCAGCTTTATAGCAAAGCCAACCACCAGACAGCTGCTTCATTTTGTGAAACTCCTCTTCAAGGACACTGACAATCTAAATTAAGAATGAAAATGAAGAATAAGGAATTCAGCTTAAGACAGATCAGTGAAAACAGAGGGAAACTACCTCTTTGTGGTCACATTTTTCTGGCAACAACACAACTCTTCGCCCAAGGCCTGCCTGAAGCAGTCTAAGTTCCTCTCTCCCCTTTGGAGTTCGGTCACTGTGCTCTGGGAGCAGAAAGAATTGGATGGAGACCTTTCGTGTTGATTTTGTTTCCTGAAAACGACGTTTAACTTGTTTTTTAAAAACAGTCCAGGGAATGATCGGTCAAAAAAAGAAATCAGCTTATTAAAATTATAACACTTGTGTACAGTGAGATAAGCAAAAAACATAAACAATACAACCTTTTTACTAAATAATGTATGTTTATAGAAGGGATCCCCAACCCTGTTCCTGGAGGGCTACCTTCATACATACTTTAGTTCCAACACACCTGTCTGTCATTTTCAAGTAACCCGGGACCACTTGATTAATTGGTACAGGTGTGTTTGATTAGAAGTGGAGCTGAACGCTGCCGGACAGTCGCTTTCCAGGAGCATGGTTGGAGACCCCTGTTTTTTAGCATTAAAGCGTTCAGCCAAAAATGGAAATTCACTAATTATTTACTCATGTCAGTCTTTCTTCTGCAAAACAAAAAAAATAAAGTATTTAGCTGAATGGTCTCAACTTTTTTTGTTCATGTAGTTAATGTAGATGGTGACCAAAATATTTTTTTTAAATAATCTTAAATATATCTTATTTGGTGTTCCACAGAAGAAAGTCATACAAGTTTGGAAAAACATGTGGGTGAGTAAATGATGAAGAAGTTTCATGCTCTGTTAAATTATTCAATTAACATTAGGAGCTAACCTTTGCATTTCATTGTTGACAGTTGGTGAAGGCTTATTAGTATTTTTTTCAGTATTTACTCATGTCAGTCTTTCTTCTGCAAAACAAAAAAAATAAAGTATTTAGCTGAATGGTCTCAACTTTTTTTGTTCATGTATTTAATGTAGATGGTGACCAAAGTATATTTTTTAAATAATCTTAAATATATCTTATTTGGTGTTCCACAGAAGAAAGTCATACAAGTTTGGAAAAACATGTGGGTGAGTAAATGATGAAGACATTTCATGCTTTATCAAACTATTCCATTAACATTACAAGCTAACCTTTGCATTTCATTGTTGACAGTTGGTGAAGGCTTATTTGTATTTTTTCAGCAGAAACACCTGACATTACACAAATTGCATTATTTCCTGTATGTAAGGCACCAGCAGGTCCATTAGAACCTGTTCTTATAAGTCTTGGCTGAGTGGGAGTACCAGTGGGGGTGTGCCGTGCTTCCTCCACACAATCCAGCAAGTTTTTTAAGGCAGTTTGCAATCGCTCTTGATGAGCCTGCTCCTGAAAAGTAATCAGAGTAGTAATTGCACTACTACAGTAGTACTACATGCATGATTCCATCTGCCTACTGATTGCTTAATCTAACCTTTTAGCAGCAGAATCTAATAGAAATATGCGATCTTCAAAATTGAGTTAGTTAAATCAGGGCTGGAAATGGGGGAGAGGGGACACAAAGTCCAGGGAGTACATTTTCACACATATAGTGGGATTTCTGCATCTGTGGTAAAATATGCCCCCAACTTGAGTACCCCCAGAGAATCTTGCCCATGTCCAGCACTGAGTTAAAGTATTGTTTTACGTATTGTTGGGAAGAGCACTGCATGATTCTGAGACCTAATTGGTATTAACAGTTTTAATTACTGAATGTAGCGTCAGTTCAGTGGTGTAAGCAGAGATATATGATCTACATTTCTACATAAATGGTATACCAGCCCTTATGGTTTTACTACAGTTAAGCCAATGGTAATCAATAAGCCATAAAACATGGTTAAATGATCGTGAAGTCTCTATATTTGTCTGTTTGTGCATTAAAGTACCATTCCCGCTGCCGCAAGGACAATGCTGAGCCGAAATGACTGGGGATGGGCGTATCGATCCAAAGTATCGATATAGCGATACTGACGTGAGTATCGAAAGTATCGATACTCAAACAAAAAATATCGATACTAAGGTCTGTTTTATTTACCAGTGATTTTGTTAATTTAACAAAATAATAATAATAATAATGCGTACAATATGCATTGAATTGGACGAATAACCTTTGTTAGCGAGTAATTGTGTAGGATAGAACTATTTTCCTGCTCATCTGGACATGCAAATGTTGCAATACAGAACCAATCAATCACAGAGAGCGTTCACTCACTTCTGACAGTGCATTCAAACAGGGCTGCTTTTCCCAAAAGTATCATAAGAAAGCATTACATCTTTTGGGAACGGCAGCCCTGAACAATGCTTATCAGAGGACAGAAAAAAACACACAAATGTTTGAGTTATTTCACAATAAACAAATTGAAATTGTAGCCTACATAGTTTGTGCAATTACAATTATTTAAATTGAACGTTGAAAGATAATATAGATCATGTTCTATTCTGTAATGTTAATAGAAATCATACACTGTCAGAATAAAAAGGTTGCATTTTATGCATGCAACAGCTGGTCACTGGCAGTCCCATGGTTTTATTAAAGTGACCATAGTTCAACTGTAGTATTTATAGATTTGAATAATGTGTAAACAAAAAACATATTTGAACCATGTGTAAACAAAAATATAACCTAATAAGTTACAATTAAGGCATATTGAATGTTAAAATGCATTTTAAACATAAAGTTAAGTGCTTATCATTACCCATTTTAGTCTTAGTAATTTAATACATTTCATCATTTAAAAGTTTAGTTCGAATCGATATCGACGATACTGATTTGAAAAATATCGGTATCGTATCGAAAACAAAATAAGTGGTATCGCCCATCCCTAGTCTTCCTGGCGCGTCATTGAGCCAATCAAATAATAGAAAACAAAGAGTCAACAAGACTCTCGTTTGATTGGTTACAAGAAATAAGTCCCGCCTTCCCACTCACGCTTGCAAACTCCAGTAAGTGAGAGAATCGTGCCAAAACTGCAAGCACGGGTGAAAGAAAGACGGTGCAGCGCATATCGGGTTATTTCAGGAAAAGTTTTGCCCCGCGTACGCAACACGTTGTTTACACCTTTGCAACAGCTTTATTTTACACACAGAGACATATTCTTCAGAATGAATCCGTTTTGCTATTCATAACACCACTGTTTTTGCTTGCAAATTGCCGTTTACAGACTTGCAAGGCTTTTGGCCGCATTTCAGCGCAAAAAACGTGCCAAAAGTGTAAGCGCGGAAAAAACGTAGGTCAGAAGAATACAGATCATATTTATTTGAAGTTGCAGTTTTTCAACACATGATTTATACTTACGAAACATAGTCAAATAATGCCAGCCCTGTTTTCTTGAGTGTATAACTTGATTTACACCTTTACAAAACTTATTTTGCGCATGCAAATTTATTTTACGCTTGCAATGTCACGTACACTTTCACAAATATTACCCTGCGTATGCAAATCTTTTAGGCATAAAATTACCTTCATAGAGCTGGCCTTAAAGGGGTCCTATTATGCTTTTTCAGTTTTTCAACTTTAGTTAGTCTGTAATGTTGCTGTTTGAGCATAAAAAAGATCTGCAAAGTTACAAAGCTCAAAGTCCACTTCAAAAGGACATATTTTATTTACCAGAAATCACTTTTCAAAAACTACAACAAACGACTCGTTTGGACTACAACGCATATTTTCCGGGATTTGTGATATCACAAATATCGACGAATGGGACGAGACCTGGTTGAGCTGCACTAGAGAAGGCAACGAGTGTTATCACTATGTTGGAGACACTCTATCTTTCCCAAGGCAGATGAACTTAGAGTGGTTACAATCATCCGAGTTTAAATCGCGC